GGTTAAGGGAATGTCTCCAGTTTTTTTTTTTTTTTTTTTTTTTTTTTTCCACATCAAGTTGTTGCTAGGATACATTTTGAACGTAGAATTGAATGTCTGGATTTGACTGAGAGAGTTGTGCATTAGACATGTTGAATTCGAGATGCCTATTTGACATCCTAGTAGAGACTGGTTGAGGAGCAGGGGTGCTGGTAATTGGAAAGATGAGGTAGTCCTTTTTCACTTTTTCAGGGAATACAGAAGTGAGGTTATCTGAAGGGAGTAATAATGAGGGAGCACATTGGAGATGTGAGGAGAGAGATTTAGAAGGGTCTTCTCAGAGTAAATTGACCAGAAAAGTGTGGTGGACTTAAGGGCAGTGTTGTGATGCGGGACCATTTGACAACTGTGATCCTAAACCAGCCTATGAACATTCAAGATGTTCTGCTTCTTGGAGTCAGACTTTGACTAGTAGAAGGAGTTTTACTGTGATTGAGGTTTGGTCAAGCAGTACAGTGGAAAAAGGGGTAAATTAGTTTAGAGTGTGTGCAGGGAGGTAATTTATCAGGACAGATCATGGAATATAAACTGGATTAAGTAGACAAGAAGGAGGTGAGGAGAGTGAAAAAGTGGCTCAACGGTTTTAAGTCCCAAAACAGTGAGAGAAAGTTCTAGAGAAAGATAAATAGATATGACATGGTGAATAGGGTATGTGAATGATTGAAATCAGGATTTGAGATGCATTTCATCTGTGTTCTAGTTTAATACCATACCAGCTTTACGAAGTGTTTTTGTTTGTTTGTTTGTTTGTTTTTGTTTTTGTTTTTGTTTTTTACGGTCTCCCTTTTAAACAGAAGCAAATTATGTTGATCAAGATTAAGCAGCTTGGCCAAGGGTACACAGTTAGTAAATGGCAGAGCTTGGATGGAAAATTAAAATATTTGTTTTTGTTTTTAACTCCCAAACCTTTGTATAATACTATACCAGCTGTCTTTGATTCATGACAGTTGCCCACTAGACAAAGGATAATCATTATGACTGAAAATGTTTACATTATATTTGTTTTGCTTTTTTAGGCTTATTATGGCATGCAAATGAAAAAAGGCCTCAGAAAACATTTCTAATTTTATAAACATCTACTTACTTCCTTTAGAGAATGAGTGGCCTTTAGAAATTGGTTGAAAATGATTTTTACTTTTTCAGAGTTCACAAACAAGCATTCACACATCATTATTAAGCTATTAGCATGGAGTGAATTCTACCTGACCCATTTACATTAATATAACATTTCCTTTATGTTAAGGAGGTCTTCCATTTTCCTACACTTAAAATGATTTAAGTAGATCCCTATATAATTATAAACGATGATGTTCTGAGAAAAATAAGGTAATTTGATTATCTCTACTTCAGGAATCTTCAAGAAAATTTACTTAGGTTCTAACTTTAGTAGAGGGAAAAGTGAAACTTTAAGTTTAAGGTTTCTCACCCTAATCATTAAAATAACAATACTTAGCCAACTTTCACAATATGCAAACAGACAAAACCAAATTGCATGAGCTGTTTTTGGTTTAAAATTACATGGAGCGCTTTCCAGCAATACTTGTATATAGAGGCTTGATTGAAATAACTGCATAATTCCTCAGCAGAGGGCTTTTCTTTGCTGTAATTACATTCATGCAGTGACTCATATTCTCTTAAGGCCTAGATTTTATAATTCAAAGGGAAATGTTCCCTTGAAATTTGAAAACCTGGAGGACTCAAAAGTTGTTTTTAAATTTTTTTTTATTATTATTACTTCTACTATTTCTACACCACAGCTAGTATTCCTCTGAGGAGTATTTGACTTAGGTGATTTTGATTTCACTCATGCTGGCTCCAGTAGTGGGGTTTGACTCATGTGACAGTGATAGAGCAAGGATCCCAAAGATGTCTAGCACAGGGATAGGGTGTTCTGCATTCAGGGACTTTAGCAGCGGGGATTTGGGGCTTTCACTCTGGTATTCACCGTCCTACAGCTCAGTTTCTTTTAAATGTCAGCTTACCTTTGACTTTTGTTTCTCTTTCCTTCATCAGCTGGATGATTTTTTTCTGAATTGACAAGTTCAGATTCCCAGGAGAGGGCACCTTGCTGGCTCTGCTGATAAACATGCCTCTGTATGATAATGTTTCCCTCCTACTACTGGGGAAGTTTTAAGACTGATAGCAAGGTTGGAGGACAGTCCTTTGCAAACACCTGGCTAGTATCTCTCCTGTTTTGGGTAACAGGGTGTGATGCAGATGCTGGAGCAATTACCAGTTTTGCCTGAGGCAGGTCTTTCCCGTGTAATTTCACATTTTTGTTATAAACCCTTGGACATTTGTGAAATATATAATATACTCATGAAGACAAAAAAAAAGACAATTTTCAGTTGGATCTACAACAGGTACTTTCTTCACTACTCGCCTTTCCACCAATATTGTTCAGTTCTCTGTAAAGAATCATGATGGTCAAGGGAGGCCTGGCAGCAGAATCTTGATTGTTCACAGACAAATGTTCTTGTCAAAGGATTGGTTTAGGAGTGGCCATATAATGTAATTCTGGCAAAAGATACTTGAGAAGATGAATGCTAAGAGCTATTTTTGAAAGGGCTTGTTCACTTTAAAAAATAAATACAAGGCTTTTTTCTTTTTTTAATCTTGGAATAATGTAGTTTTTATAAGATGCTGAGAATTGCAGCCGTCATGTCAGGGTCATGAGAGGAGCCAGTTAAGAGAGTCCCAGCTACCATGCCGATGGCAGAGCAGAAAGTTGTAAACACCCCTCATCTCATTAATGGCACTGAGCCACCACATGAACCAACCCTAGAACTGCCCTGATGTCAGGTGGGAAGATTACTTTGATGCAATTGTAGCCTCCGAGTATGCTACAAGGTGAGCTATCCTAGAGGTGAGGGAACCAAAAGCTCCCACAGACTACATTCCAATCCTCAAATCACATAATTCACTAAATTGATTTAAAGTGCACAGTGAGAGGCAAGAGGAAAGATTATTAGGTTGGCATACCTGGGTTAGGGGCAAGTAGGGTAGAGGGGCCATGCCAGCTAATCCTGGGGTACCTATTGTTCATGTTCATACATCTGCATATGCTTTCCCCGCTGATGTTGTGGTTACAAGGACCAGAGATGAGGTTTGGGCAAGCCTCAAAGATAGCAGTTGTCCCAAGCTAATAACACCTGCTCAAGTGTCTGAGAGATACTGGGACAAGTATGCCTAGTCAGTGGCTGTGGGTTGCCAGTTAGCTTCACAAACAGTCATGAGTTCTGTTGTGTTTATTGGACAGATGACAAATGGGGCAGGAAAGAGTATCAGCAGTTGTTGTTAACCAGGGTGATTTTTGTCCCCCAGTGTCCATTTAGCAATGTCTGGAGACATTTTTGATTGTCATGACTGGTATATGTAAGAGATGCTACCGGCATCTATTAGGTAGAATCCAGGGATGCTAAGTGTGCTACAGTGAACAAGACAGCCTCCCAAGACAAAGAATTATCTGGCCCAAAGTATCAGTTGTGTCGAAGCTGAGAAACCCCCTCATGAATATTAAGTGAATATGTATATTTAGCGTATCCTGGATATTCAGTGCCTCTTATGTATTTAATATATCATGAACATTTATTACTCATATGCTTCAAGAGTAATTGACACTTCTTGATCTTGCAGCCCTTTCTGTCAGTGTGTAACACATACACAGTCTTCTTAATACTTTATACATATATGAATTCTGCTCATGTCTTACTAGCAAAATATGCACTTAAAATATCTTAAAATGGTTTGCCTATATTTTATAAACCTCAAATTTATTTATCAAATAGAACTAAACATCCTCAAAAGCAAATTTACATTATACTAGTCCTGGAATTTCAAAGAAGAAATAACGTGATAAATGTCCTCATTGTTTAATATACTTTTTGTTGTGTTTTCTACAGCTTGCAGCTGAGAGCATGCTAGCTGATTTTCACATAAAGTCATTAAGAACATCTATTCTAAAGATAAATGAAGCATTGACTTAGACTATAATTACAAGTTTCCTAAATAGTAATATAAGCATCAGATAGTACAAGATTATGGTGCCTGCATTAATGTAATGCTTGTTTGGTCATTCTGTTTACATTTAAAGCAATTGTAGGCATGGTGCTTATGATGAACCTCTGTGCTCAAAAATGCACATTTTGAAATGATTGGAACAGTTTTTGTTTGATGATCTTCAGTTCACTTAAGGACTTTTTAGTTGGCTCAGTGTCTATTAATAGAGCAACACTGGAAATTTATAGCTTCATGCATTTTAAAAAATTTATTAATGATCGTTTTATTTATATTTTAGTGCTTTAAAAGATTAAAGATATTTTATGGAAGTTGTGTCTTGAGACTCCTCCATTAAAAGGAAAAGTTTTTCACATATATGAAATTAAAGAGAAGCATATTTAAGATTATAGAAACATGTAGATATTGTTGTTTAGGATAGTTTTCATAAAAGAATTATTTTCAAATGTTGATGGTATATATTCCATTTCATTTCTAACTTTCTTTGCCTTTTTTTACTTTTGTGATTGAAGCTAACATTTTGTCAGATGAAAATATCACATATAACACATAAAGAAATGGTAAGGCATAATATGCAATTAAAACTGTTTGATAAAAAGTTAAAGTAAGAAATTAAGAACAATATGTCTTAAAAACAATGATATGCTTACAGTAGTTTCCTGGAATTACTGGCTGGTTCAGCAGAATCAGCTGTGCTCAGCAATGGAGTGACAGGTGGTGTAGGCAGTTCAACCTCACATCCTTTTAGAAATACTGTGTGTGTGTGTGGGTGTGGGGGTGTGTGTGTGTGGGTGTGAGAGAGAGAGAGAGAGAGAGACCTATAAAGTGTTGATTTGGGGGGGGTTAAAGAATTGTTAAAGCCATTATGTGTAAACTTGATCCTGATTTTCATGTTTTACATTTTTGGGATCCTGTTTAATCATCATTTATTTTTGTTGTTTTAGTGATTTGCTGTCCTCTGAATACGTAGAGAGACACATTGAACATGGAGGCAAGACTGTGGAAGTTAAAGTAAGTGAAATTTTCCTACTTATGGGGAAATTTATTGAGAATCTTTTAATACTACTGATTATGATTTTAATTTTCAATGATATTTCTAATGTACAGTTTTGAGGGTTTTAAAAATACTTTATAATCTAAAGTTTTATCACCCACTTTGGAAAAATGAAACTTTACTTTTAGTTATCAGAAAAAGAATTTTTAGGGTACTGTAGGAATTGTTAGACTTAGGTTTTATAGGATTGCTATACCTGCAAGTACTAGGTTGGTGCAAAAGTCCTTGTGGTTTTTGTCGTTATTTTTAATGGCAAAAACCCCAATGACTTTCTTTTTTTTTGAGACAAAGTCTCACTCTTGTCTCCCAGCTGGAGTGCAATGGCGCGATCTCGGCTCACTGCAACCTCTGCCTCCCGGGTTCAAGTGATTCTCCTGCTTCGGTCTCCCAAGTAGCTGGGATTACAAGTGCCTGCCACCACACCCGGCTAATTTTTGTTTTTTTAGTAGAGAGAGGGTTTCACCGTGTTGGCCAGGCTGGTCTCGAACTCAGGCGATCTGCCCACCTTGGCCTCCCAAACTGCTGGAATTACAGGCATGAGCCACCGTGCCTAGGAAACCCCAGTGACTTTTATGCCAGCCTATAGTTCTTTCTTGGATTATGTCACTGAAAATAGTTTTTGAAATTTGCCTTTAGGGTTACCACTGAGAACCAAGAGGTGAAAACTTGGGTCCAGGGTAGGTGTTTGCCTTTGCATTCAGTTGTGAAAGATTCCCACCCCCGCCGCCCCCTAACCCGGCCCCACCCCACAGCACCCCACACCTCCACCAGTAAAATGTAAAATTGTTAGATCTACAGGAGATCAAGGAGTTGAAAATACCTAGAGACAGAAATCTCAGGATACTGGTTATGACAAGTAAACTGTGAAAATATTAACACAAAAATAAAAGCCTCCACCAGCTAGAGGCATAAGAATGTGGGGTTTTTCCCCCAGATCTGCAGATGGTGTAATCTGAGAGCATATGAAAACAAAAGCCACTCAAGTGTAGGGCTTCCTTCTGCTCAATGTTGAGTATAGTGACTTTTGGCCAAGTGTTTATTTTCTTCTGCATAGTGTTCAGACTATCTACTCTACTTTATCTGAATTATAACCCACTTGTTCACATTCATTTCCTTTTTCTAATTACAAATTAGATACATGCTCATTTTAGGAAACTTGTAAACAGAGAAAAGTAGAACAAAAAAGGAAAACTCATCCTTAAACTCATCACTGAGAGATAAATGTTTTCATTTTGTTATTTCTTTGAGTTTTTTTGTCATATGCACACAATTGTATATATACATAGATATTTACATAGTATCATATATAGCTACAATATTGTATCTGCTTGCTTCTGTATCATTTTGTAAACATTTGCCAAGTTATTTTCCCATAAAGCCTTTGTTCAGTTTTTTATGTACATATATTACTGTTGTAAAGCTTTTTATTCAAACTAAACTGTTATCAGTAACCAAAATAAATTATATCGTCCTATTCAAATGACAATCTGAAGAGAATTGAGTTTTTCAATTATATATATGTAAACTAAAAGAAAACTTTTTATTGTGGAGAAGTTTAAACATATTTCGAAGTGAAAAGAATGCTATAATGAACCCCCTCATTCCCATCATCCAGCATCAACAGTTATCAACACTTTGACTATCTTTTTTTTCTCTTTTTATTGTGTGTGTGTGTGTGTGTGTGTGTGTGTGTGTGTGTGTGTTTGTGTGTAGTATTTTAAAGCAAATTCCAGACATTAGGACACTTTGTCAATAAATACATCCTGTATACCTATACATTTCTAATTCATAAAGACTTAAAATCTGGTAACTCCTGTAAGCGATCTAGGTGTAATAATTATGCCTGTCTCTCCAGAAAGTTATCCTAAACTAAAGATTGGTGAATTGAATGGTGGATTAATTTATATTACTGCCTCCCTACAGAAGGGATATCAGGATTTTTCTAGATATAACATGGGAGAATGGAGCCATTTTGTTTATAGTTGGGGAAAAAAAATTACCTAGGGATAGAATCTGCAGGTCCTTTTATTCCCATCCCTGTTCATTTGGCTTCACTTCTCTATTTTCTATGATAATGTTTTTCTGATGTAGAGTATCTCTTATTCCCTTGTTAAATTAAAGAGGAAAGGAAACAGGCCTTTCACTATCTGTTTCCGTCTGTGTCTGTCAGTGGAATGATGAAATGCAAATAGGAGTGTGGAGGGTGGACCCAGCAGATAGCTCTCTCCTCTCTCTATGGTAATATCCTTTTTCAGAAAACTTGTATCTAATCAGCAAAGTGCACTCTACTCTGGGATCTTAAGGCTCCATGGGTATACATAACACATGAAGCACTGACTTTGCCACACAGTCTTTGCTGATTTTCCAACCTGAGAATTGCAGTTTCTTTGTTGATGGTTTTTCTAACCCCTAAGCCTATCATACTAGGGAAATGATAAATACAAACTTTGTCCAGACTGAAGGGCCAGAGGTTGTTTCTTTTTCCCTTTAAGAAAACCACTTTGGTATCACCTGTCACCTCCATTTGTTTCCACTCCATTTAAAAATCTAACTCAAAATTCTCCTCTGGGTTTTTCCAGGAACCACATTGAAAGTGCTGAATCCTGCCCATCAATCCAAAGTCAGTAGCCAATTATTTCTCTGCGGGTTCCCTCCTGTCTCAACCTCTGTGCTTAGCTCTTTGGGATATTTCTTTTTACATGAAATCTGATAGCAGTCTATTTTCTTTATTAATGACTCATTAATACATTATAAATCAAAGTTGTAGCATTTTATATTTTTTCCTTCCCTGCAGTACCTTTTTAAAAAGGAACTCCTAAAACTTTTACTTCTCCTTTACTTTCCATATTAATTTGCTAAAGCTACCATAACAAAGTACCATAGACTGGGTGGCTTAAACATAGACTGGGTGGCTTAAACAATAGGAATGTATGTTCTCTCAATTCTGGAAGCTGGAAGTCCAAGATCAAGATGTTGACAGTGTTGGTTTCTTCTGAGGCCTCTCTTCTTGGTTCGTACATGGTTTTCTTCCTGTGTCTTCACATGGCTTTCCCTCTGTGTTTATCTGCATCCTAATCTCTTCTCGTGAGAACATCATTCCTATTGAACTAGGGCCCACCCTAATAATCTTATTTTAACTGCATTACCTCTTTAGAGACCCTGTCTCTACATACAGTTATATTCTGAGGTATTAGGGGTTAGGACTTTAACGTATGCTTTTTAGGGGAACACAATCCACCTATATCACACCTTCCTTAAGAGCCCTGTAAGTTTTTAGTTTTTTCTTTTCTCTTGGGACTGAGGTAAATGAAAGGAAATATGAAATCAAAGCTAAACTCTAAGAGCTTCTTGTGTTAATTGGCACAAGCATGGCCATATGTATCCTAAGGATGCAAATTTAAAATTAAAGTATTATTCCAAACTTAACAACGGCTAGAAACCAGTCGATAAATGGCTGTGCTTAGGTGTCTTTGAACTTTTGGTAAAGGAATAAATGTTTCAGGAGAAAACATTTTTACAAAAGAGCTGGATGCAGTGTCATGCCTGTTTGCAGCTACCCAGGAGGCTAAGGCGGGAGGATCATTTGAGCTCAAGAGTTCAAGGCCAGCCTGGGCAACATAGCAAGAGACTGTCTTAAACAACAACAAAAAAGTCATGGTAAATCTTTTAGATTGCAATTTTATTTTTAAAAACCTATTCAGTGGTAAAATATACAACAGACACAGAAATTCACATAAAACAATATATGGGTTGATGAAATACTAAAGGCAAATGCTTTTATAATGACCATTCAGTTCAAGAAATAGAGTGTGGCCAGCTGTTTGTTTGCTGCATCCCAAACCCAAGCCCTTTTCATCCTCCTCTTGTAAGATTTGTAAACATTATCCTGACTTTTATCATAATTGCTTACTTGCTTTTGTTCATAGTTTTATCACCAAAGCATGTACCCCTATAGTTTAATTTTGGCTGTGTAGGTTTTAAAAATAATTTTTGTCTGGGTGCAGTGGCTCACACCTGTAATTCCAGCACTCTGGGAGGCCAAGGCGGGTGGATCATGACATCAGGAGATCAAGACCATCCTGGCTAACATGGTGAAACCCCGTCTCTACTAAAAATACAAAAAATTAGCTGGGTGTGATGGCACACACCTATAATCCCAGCTACTTGGGAGGCTGAGGCAGGAGAATCGCTTGAACCCAGGAGGCAGAGGTTGCAGTGAGCTGAGATCGTGCCACTGCACTCCAGCCTGGGTGACAGAGCAAAACTCTGTCTCAAAAATAAAATAAAATAAAATAATAATTTAAAAAACATTATCTTTCTCTTTTGTTTCCCCTCGCAATTTATTTGTTGAAGAAGCCAGATTGTTTATCTTATGTAATTTTCTACAATCTGGATTTTGATGTTGATTGCAATTTTGTGTTTAGTGTAAAAACAAACACATTTTGGTGATTGTTCCTTAACATAATGATTTGTGTTATCTGCAGGGATATCATCAGCCTCATTGAAATTAGTTTATCTTGTTCACATAGCTGTGCATAATTCTGATATATAAATTGTATTAAAACTTCAAAAGAATTTTTTTTCAAAGGTTACAAAGATAAAGTCTTTATGCAAGAAAAGAAAGATACTTTGTGTTCCTTTAATGAGACATATTAGTCTTTCACTTACATTTATTTTCAATCCATTTAAAAATTAAATTATTGCCAGGCACGGTGGCTCATGCCTGTAATCCCAGCACTTTGGGAGGCCGAGGTGGGTAGATCACAAGGTTGAGAGATTGAGACCATCCTGGCTAACATGGTGAAACCCTGTCTATAGTAAAAAATACAAAAAAATAGCTGGACGTGTTGGCAGGCGCCTGTAGTCCCAGCTACTTGGGAGGCTGAGACGGGAGAATGGCGTGAACCCGGGAGGCGGAGCTTGCAGTGAGCCAAGATCCTGCCACTGCACTCCAGCC